GCGCTGTTGCTGTCACTGATGTGGTGCTACAGGGAATGGAACTATTTATTCCATCATCTGTGGTACCCATCGGAGGCAGCTCTCAGCCTTGGTTTGGTCGCTCCTGTAAGACTGCTTTACGCAATAAACAGGAGTGTTATCAAGCCTGGGCTGCGGCTTCAGCGAATCGGGATGTAAACACCAGCATACTTAAAAAGAAGTATAATTTCGCCACCAGGTCCTTCAAAAGAGTTATTGCCAAGGCAAAGTCAGAGCACATAGGCAGAATTAGCGAGAAACTAGTTCGCCTTCCTTCGGGAACCCGTGCATTCTGGTCTCTCGCCAAGGCTGTCCAAGGGAATTTCTGTAAGCCATCACTACCATCTCTGCACAGGGAGGACGACTCACTGGCCCACGACGCAAAAGAGAAAGCCGACCTTTTAGGCTCCTTTTTTGCATTCAACTCGACTCTTGATGACGGGAGGAACACACCGCCGACCATCCCACGGTGTGAGTGCTCCATGCCGGATATGCGGTTCTCACAGCGCTCGGTTCGCAGAGCACTACTCTCCCTTGACATCCACAAGTCGAGTGGGCCTGACGGAATCCCCCCAATTGTGCTGAGGACGTGTGCTCCGGAGTTGGCACCGGTTCTAACGCGTCTTTTCCGGTACTCCTACTCCCAAGGCGTAGTCCCGAAATCATGGAAGAAAGCTTTTGTCCACCCTATCCCTAAAAAAGGCGACCGCTCAGGCCCGTCCAACTACAGGCCTATCGCCATCACCCCCTTGTTTTCCAAAATAATGGAATCCGTTATAAACTGCCACCTCATGCGGTACCTTGTGGATCACCAGCTGATTAGTGACCCCCAGTACGGTTTTCGTCGGGGTCGATCAGCTGGTGATCTTCTGGTCTACTTAACTTATAGATGGACGGAGGCAGTAGAGTCCAAGGGGGAGGCATTGGCCGTTAATTTGGACATTGCGAAGGCCTTCGACCGGGCTTGGCACAAAGCGCTTCTTTCGAAGCTCCCTTCCTATAGGCTTCCCGAGAAATTGTGCAATTGGATCACCAGCTTCCTTGCAGATCGGAGCATCAAGGTCGTTGTAGACGGTGCATGTTCTGACTACAAGCCTATTAACGCTGGTGTTCCACAAGGCTGCGTGCTATCACCAACGTTGTTTCTTCTGCATATCAATGCTATGTTGTAAACCGGTAGCATTCATTGCTAAGCGGATGACAGCACTGGTGATGCTTTATACACCGGCCGTGCCAATATTTCCCGGCAAAACGTCGCCGAGTACCGGAACAAACTTGTGTCTGAAGTCAAGTCTTTGCTGGACAAAGTCTCGGATTGAGGGCGACTAAATCTAGTCCAGTTTAATTCTCAGAAGACACAAGTTTGCACATTTACCGCTAAAAAGAACCCCTTTGTCGTATCTCCTCAGTTTCAAGGTACTTCCCTTGTTGCCTCAGCCAGTATCGGTATCCTCGGAGTCGACATATCGAGTGACGTGCAGTTTCGTGGTCATTTGGAAGAGAAGGCCAAATTGGCTTCTAAAAAGCTTGGCGTGCTCGGCAGAGCGGGACAGTATTTCATGCCGGCACACCGCCTGCAACTTTACAAGGCGCAGGTTCGGCCTCACATGGAATACTGTTCCCATCTCTGGGCTGGGGCTCCCAAGTGCGAGCTCCTTCCACTTGACCGCATCCAGCGCAGAGCGGCTCGAATTGTCGACGACCGAGTCCTTTCCGATCGGCTCGACTCATTGGCATTGCGAAGACATGTTGCATCTCTTTGCATTTTATTTCGCATTTACCACGGGTAGTGCTCTGAGGAATTGTTCGGATTAATCCTAGCCGCCAAATTTCACGAACGCACATCGCGGCAGAACTCCCGATACCATCCACACCATCTGGATGATTGGCGGTCCAGCACTGTGCGATTTAGAAGATGTTTTCTTCCTCGCATAAATTCCTTGTGGAATAGTTTACCATCAGCGATTTTTCCGGACCGATACGACTTAGGGACCTTCAAGAAAAGAGCCTACTCCTTTTTAAAAGGCCGGCAACACATCTGCAATTCCCCTGGAGTTGCGTGGGCGGCGGTAGTCACTTACCATCAGGTGAGCCGCATGCTCGTTTGCCCCCTCTCCTATAAAAAAAACCCTCTTTTGGGAGAAGAGGGCGCAGGCGGCTACAAAGAGCCGCTGAGGGAGAGCCTACTTAGGCAAATTTAAGAAGAATCGGCCTGAGCCGCCAGGAGGCAGTTCAGGTCGGTAGAAATTTTATTTGGCGGGTCCGAGAGAGAGTTTCTCGGCCTGCGGACTCGATAGCGAGAGGGAAGTGTATAATATAGTATATAATAATAAGTAGCTGCCTCACGAATGAAATGATTGGAATGAGACTCTGAGGCTTTGAAGAAGTTCTCAGAGAGTGTTTTTAGAAATTGTTGGATTGTAGGGAGCTCTAAGTCCCGATGGAGGTCGGCATTACGGACGTACAAAGGTACGTTTGTAACTCGACGACAGAAGAGGTTTTGAACTACTTGGAGTTCATTAATAATTTTAGGGTCAGCGTGGGCAAAAATAGGGCCCCTACATGACTGGTCGGAGCGGCGAGCCAAAACAACTCCTATTTATACAGACCACTGACGCAACCGCTCCCTACTTAAGGAGCGAGCGACTGCGTCATGTGATAAAACATGCGACTAATCACCGCTGGACTTACGCAGCCGTTTGTAAAATTAAAAACAAACCGCCGCGCAACGTCCGCTTACCCTCCAACCACGCAACCAATCGCCGATCACCGTGAGGGTGACAAACGGCCATACTGCTAGGCTGTCTGTTATTAGAGAGCTGCCTTAAAGATATTCAAGAGAGGTGAGTTAGAAACATTTGTTTGTTCATTCAGCAGTGCAACGTTACTATTATTACTTTTTAATATCTCTGACTGTTCCAGCACACACAGTCGCAGCCTTGTATTACACGTAAGTAAAACTTTAAAGGAGTTGTCGTTGGCTAGGTTGTGTCCAGTGTCCAAAAGATGTTTAGCAAAATGGGACTTATCAGGATTGCAATTCCTGTACGCGGCTAGATGATCTTTATAACGTGTCTCGAAATTGCGACCAGACTGACCCACGTAAACGGCGTGGCATTCGTCACAAACAAGTTTGTAAGCACCCAACTTTTGACGAATATCCAACTTATCTTTATTATAACAGATGTTTCTAGAGAATTGTTTGTTTTGAACGCCACATAAATGCCGTTTTGTCGAAGAGTATTAGCTACTTTTCAAGATATAGGGCCTAAGTAGGTCAAACTGCTCACATATCGACGAACACTTTGATGTTGAACCGCGTACAGAAAGTTGCGAACAACATGCTTTTGTTTCTTTTGAATTAAATTGTTAATGAGATTTTTTGAAAAATCTCATTAACAATTAGTCTAAAGACTGGTCGGATTCCTACGACGATGCGTAAGCGTTCCCGTAAAGCATGTAACCAGTAACTAGATTCCTTAGTCGAAACAGCTGCCGAAGCAGCTGCTGAAGGCGGGCCTGCTCTTGGTCACTATATAAATTATAAAACAAATATTTCTGCACGCCCCGTACTAACGGAATATCCCACTGCTTTTGTTGGTTAATTTTCAGTGGAACATTTTCGCCGGGACAGAGCCTTTTCCATGTCTGCTTTGCGTCCGGTCTACTTTATTATTTAAAATTATGTTACACAAGTCACTGACGTGCATAGTGTACAGAAGTACGGAAAAAAGAAAGATTCCTATTTACTTTTTTAGATATTATCTGGGGGCACGGCAGTGCCCCAGCCAAGTCGAGCAAAAAAGCGGCACGGCCGTACCATCCTTTTTTCGAAGCAGTTCAGGCCATTTTAGAAACCCTATAACTTCGTTGTGGATACAACTAGAAGTCTGAATTTTCAGTAACCATTTGGTTACTGAAAAATCAGACTTACTACCATACCAATATCACTTACTACCTACCATATCAATATCAAAAAATCTTTTATGTTTTAAATAAATAAATTGACTTGGCCATTGCACTAAACAATCTAATTTAATATAATATGTATTACTTGAGAGATACATTGTGTTTTCTTGCGATGGCCAAGTCAATTTATTTATTTAAAACATAAAAGATTTTTGATATTGATATGGTCACTATAAAATTTTGTTAGGTTAGCTAATTACGTAATAATTTAAGACAGAAGGACCCTTAAGTAGGGACTGATTAAATTAACCGACTTGGTATTACAAACATGTATCTCATAATTTTTTACGGTCGAAGAACTGAGTTGCAAGACTTGGCTTTTTTACAAGTTATGTTTTTGATGGCATAATATTCTCCCATGGTTATTATTCAAATATTATGTTCTCTTCTCTTCCCTACATAGAATAAAACAAAGTTGCCTTTACACTAGTCAAGGTAGACTTTTGTTCTGACTCTTTAAAATAGACAGAAAGATTCAAGAGGAAGGTTTATATGTATAATTATATATTAAATTCTTCTGTCCGTGTGTATGTGACTGAACTCCTAGTAAACGGCTGCTCCGATTTTAATGAAATTTTGTGTGTGTGATTAAGTTGATTCGAGAATGGTTTTATGTGTGATGTGTGATTTCTGGATCTCGACAACAGTTGTCGAGATCCAGAAACCACACGTGCGAAGCCTGGGCGGATTGCTAGTTGTTATATATTTCCATAACTGCGGGAGAAATAGTGAGCCGCCACTGCTGCTAATACTAAGTATCATAAATATTTTGTTATTGTTTGTTTATATTATGTATGATTTTTTTTTAAGTATATTATTTTTATTTTGGAATAAGCACGTAAGTAGCTTATGTTCCTTTAAAGTGCAATTTAAAAAAAACATAAATAACGTAGCATTGTTATGAAAGCGATAAACTGGGTTTGAATTAAAATTAAAACACTGTTTACATTTCTTTTGTAGATTATGTTCTCATTTCCGTTTTATACAAGTACGTTCGAGTTTGTAATCGCAGGATGGGTGCGGGACAGATTGGCGGAATTGCGACACTCTGTAATTATTTCTAATAAATTTAATATAGAATAAGTATTAAACGGTGACCTTTTTTTGAGTTGATTTAGGTACCACTTTATACATTCCCCGGATTGAAAGGGTAACGGGTGCTTTACATAGACTGCTGCCCAATCTAGGGGAACCAAGGGAAGAAGTGCGTCGCCTCTATGTAGGAGTGATATGGTCTGTTGTTTTGTACAGGGCGTCTGTACGGGCAAAAAGGTTGGCTATTTGACGCTGTATATCTAAAATGTACAGTGTGTAGGTGAGGATGGCCATACGGATCGTGCTAGGATACCGCACGGTATCCTTTGAGGCGGTGACAGTCCTGGCTCGCTTACCACCTTTGGACATACTGGCGGACATGGACGCGAGGGTGTACGATCGGATGCGTGTCCTCCTCCAAAGCTGTGAGTGGGCCAGATGATTTAAATCGCAGGAACGACTTAAGCCATTAGTAACGTAGCGCACTCCTCTTTCTGAAGAGTGTTATGCATGCAAACGCGATGTTGAAGCAATCCTGCCGGACTTGGAAAACTGGATGCATCGACGAGCGGCAAGACTCACCTGCAGACTTAGGCAGATAATAACCGGGCACAGGTGCTTCGGTGATTATTTGTGTAAGATCGGACGCGTAGCGACAGCAAACTGCTTCCATCAGGACCAGGACTCCACATTTCATACGCTGGCAACATGTTTAGCGTGAGAACGGGAGCGGATGGTCCTGGTGAGCCGGATCGGTCAAAATCTCTCCCTGCCAACAGTCGTGTCAGTGATGCTGAGCAGGGACTTGGCGTGGAAGGCTGTAGCCGCCTTCTGTGATTCCGTTATGGTCCAGAAAGAGGCTGCTGAGCGGTGTTGAAAGAGGACAGATCTCGCTTGGAGACGACGTTGCCAAGGCTTGCGTCGCAGCCCTCTCCTTGTTGATGGTGTTCCCATGATGTTTGATGGTGTACCAGAAAATAGGCCTCTGGGATTACGGGCGCTCAGAGTGGTTGCTCCTAACGTCTAGGAATAATAACCCCCGAGGAGGATAGTGATTTGGAAGTGGTCCCGAGCACCGTGATAGCACTGCGAGGGTAGTGTCGACTGCCCCCAGGGTGTGCTTAAATAAAGCAAAGCGACAGAGGGGCCCGGTTCCGAAAGGAGATCCCGGGACCCTCCAATCATTACAGCCTTTCACAAGTGCACTGCTCAATATAGGCCTCCCCCAAGAAATGCCACAAAGCACGTCCTTGAACCACCTATACATCCATCGACTCAGGACCACATCTCAGATCCATAAGTCATCACTGGCAACACGCAATGGTTGTACAATCTCGTTTTTAAGTTTTGAGTTGTGCAAGACGAGAAGATGTGTCGTAATTTCCCGAACGCTACCCAGCCGAGTTGAATCCCTCATTTGACCTCTCGGTCGAAGTTGGACTTACCTAGTTGAACTATTTGTCCCAGGTAAACATACTCGTCGACAACTTCGAGCGTAGTACTCCCAACAACTACCGGCATAGGTGTGTCATGGACGTTAGGCATGACCTTTGTTTTATCTATGTTGATCTTAAGACCTATCCGTAGGAAGACACTATTGAAGTCATTGCGCACAGTGCTATGGTTCGCTAGCGATTCTGCCATAAGGTCAGCAAACTGAAGGTGAGTGATGTTAATACCGTATTCTTTCCAGTCCAGTTCCTTGAAAACGTCTTCCAATGCAGCGGAGATATAGCGTATGTAACGTCACCCTGTCTTACGCCTCTCTACAGTTGGATGAGTTTCGTACTCTGCTTCTGTACTCGGATAGCCGTCGTAGCCCTTCTGTACAAACACTTCAACACTTCGATATACCGACAGTCAACTTGGCACTACTGAAGGAACTGTAGCACATCCCAAATTTCGACGTAATCAAAGGCTTTTTCATAATCCACATACGCAAGGCAAAGTGATAGATACTCTTCGATCTTATGTACAATTTGCCGAAGGGTATATAATATGTGAAACTCGTCGATTCTGCGTGCGAGGCGTTGCGTAATGACTCTTTAAAAACAGCACGTAGACGCGGCTCGCAAGGGAAATCGGTGTGTATAGTTCTTCAAAAGAGCGAGCGAAAAATCTGTACAAAAGTTTATTTTTCATTCCTTGTAAAAAGTATTTCTATTTATGTGGTTGTCAACTTCTTACCCCCTTTTCTTTTTAGTTATTACTAATTTTATTGCAATATTTTTTTTACAGTGGACATAGATTTTGAAAATGCTGCCGGTTTTCTTGGGCATACCGCAGATGTCTCAGAAGCACAGTTTGTCGTAAGTGAAAATAAAATAAAATGAATAAAACAGTGGGTTATTAATGTGTTTAGTCAAATCATCAATATAGGTATTGGTCTATAATGATTATATTACTCGAATACTAGACATTGAATAAAACAAATTTTACGGATTTAACTCAGGGACCCAGTCCCGCCGTGACCAATAAAGTAAAATAAAACACGATGAAATCTGTAAAATTAGTTTTATTCAAGGTATTTTGCTAGTAATATATGAATGACAGTTAATCCGTAATCATTATTTGATTCTTATTCTCTTTTTTCTTTTTAATGTTTATTCGTCTCGTCTACTTTAAATCATCACGCATGCCACATGATGATGTTAATTGATCTGCGCAAAAAATACTATTCTGCAGTGAGCGGCGCTTACATTAATCCTTACGTGACGATATCGTCACATAACGTCGTGACGTCGTCAACTTTTCTTGTTGAATCACAAAATGCAGACCATATTTTAAAACCGTATCACCCTTATGATTATATTTTGCAAGCCAATCTCAACGCGCAACTAAATTCGAGAACAATGTAACTGTTAAGAAGTTTACTTGTGCGGAAGCATCATCTACTTTTACTTCTTCAGTCACTATATGCATGCTATTTTGCATACGTCGAACGCAAAGCGGAGGTGTAGTGCTATATTGTTATCAAATCAAAAAATCGCGATCCACTCAACTTAAATCACTTCCACCAGCTTTATATTACCCTTATAATATGATTAAAAAGTACACCAATAGCCAGAAGAGATTTCAGTTAATATTACTGACGTAGTTATAAGGTTATTAAAAAAATTTGAACTGAAAATAATTACACTTGGATATCAATTGGTTGGTATGGATGTGATCATGATATCTGAACTTTTCACTTTGATATTTTTTATTATCTTTACTTTTTAATCCTTAGGAAGCCTTTTGAATTTACTACCTTAAAATTTGATTTTTTTTTAATAAAATTGTCAAATTTTATTCGATAGCAAAATACGAGTTACCGGTATCAAGCTTTTTCATAGCTTTAAACGATATACGTGTTTCGGTAATTAATAAAAGCAAATTGATTATTTAAACATTACATGAGCGTTCGAGGTGTGCACTTTTGGATTTTCCAATTTTTTTATTTTTAAATGTTACCAGTAACTCAAGTAAAGGTGAACCTGTCTACCGTTTCAGGCCAACCCTATGATAATGTTCGCTTATCGTTTTCAACACGAATATCCTACAGTTATCATCTATAATATAAAAATGAATCGCTGAATTTGTTGCTAAGCGCAAATCTCGAGAGAAGCTGAACCGATTTCGCTAATTCTTTTTTTATAATATTCCTTGAAGTACGAAGATGGTTCTTACGAAGAGAAACGTTTAAAAAAATTGCCTGAAATTATCTAAAAACAATACTTTTCTATATTCCCATACAAAAGATTCGTAATAATACTTAAAAGTCAATTGAAACTTTAATACCATACCATAAAGTTTAAGTGTTAGTGGAAGAGTTCCGGGAAGGCAAAACAATTGAATAACGTTAGTATCGTATAAATATTAATGTCAATATTTGTCAATATTTATAAGATGGTAACATTACTCAAAAACAAAATTAGGGTTTTGGCCTAAAGGTCTAGATGCCAGGCTATAAACTCCAAAAAAAAAATTAGGGTTCCGCGTAAAAAATTGATATCCATGTAATCGTAGTAAATTGGGTGAAGTCGCGGGGCACAGCTAGTATATAATATAACTGTAGGAATTTCCGTGGCATCAGCAAGCATCTGATCGTACAGTACAGTTATGATTAAGTATTCTTACCAAATCTTAACGTGCACACATTAATTTCAAAATGATATCAGTTATTGTTAAACAGTTCCTCTGATCTTCTTCTTCTTCTTCAAGATATATTCATATACAGGCTGTAAAATCAGTTTCATATTTGTAGCTAAAACTATATGTATTTGCGCAATCAATTGTAGCTTTAATAATTTTTGAGCAAATAACAGCTTCTAATAATATTGGGAAGTTGTTACGTGGTAGAAATATTAAAAGAGAATTTTAAGACTGGACTTTGGGATATATCTAGCCTTTTTAAGTCATCACATTGGATGGAAAATGAAACTTATAAGGCGCGTTAGGGAAAATACATAAAATGATTTTAAATACCATATCAGTCTCTGAATGATGACTACATATTTGTGCCATTTGCTGTAGAGACTATCGGTCCGCGGGGTCCACATGCGGTGAAGTTCCTAAAGGAACGCCATCCGCGGCTGGTCGTTGCTGCTGGTGATAAGAGGGCTGGTTCTTTTCTTGGTCAAAGGCTAAGTATAGCCATTCAGCGGGGAAACGCAGCTAGCGTTCTTGGCACGATACCGCGGGGAGTAGGACTATATGATAATAAGTTACTAGTTTTAGTTTTTTTTTATTATGTTTTTTTTAATATTGTATATAATAAAAAGAAAAAAATTTAAAATAACCACCAATTCCTTTATTACTGAATATTCTATTGGTGATCGAAACATTTTCTTTTACTGCTTAACAGGTTTATTATTTGTCTCACGCCATGATGTTTTGCGCCGGTGTCCTGTTAGAAGCTCACGTTGTACTCACGCCAGCCAGTTGTGTTGTCGGGGAAAAATACAAATTTGAACTTTACGCTGGCACTCACAAGTTTTTAGAGAATACAGGAGTTAGTAGACAGGTGCATCATATTTGCTTGCATAAAGGTAAGTTACATAAAAAAAAAATATTCTTTAAGCTTTATTCTATGAATTGGACTAGAAGCTCACATCATAGCATCTGTTAATCATTTCGGTGCCGGGATTCAAGAGCTCAGTGCCCACTGAATGTCTAGGCACGAAAATTCCATCAAATTTTTGTAATCCCTTGCACTAGAGCCTTGCGGGATATTACGAGAGAAGATCAAGAAGTTCGGCATGCAAGTATAAAAATTACTCACTCCTCAATCGTCGCCAATTTTCATTTATCGAAGAAGTCTTGGAGTAAGTAATCCATGGTTTTATACAACGCATTTTTAGGTGTGTTTTTGAATTGTATTTTTGAGTATAAGTTAATTAGGTTCGCAGTATAATTATTCACATCTTGATATCGGTCCTGAGCCACCTGCATCCATCGACTTCCTGCATGTCTTACCAGGTCGTCACTCTATCTCGTGGGGGGTCGCCCTACACTTCGCCTACCAGTACGAGGCTGCCACTCAAGAACCTTTCTTCCCCATCGGTTGTCGGTTCTTCGAGCTATATGGCCGGCCCACTGCCACTTCACCTTAATAATCCGTTGGGCTATGTCGGTTACTCTGGTACTACTGCGGATATAGGTACTCATTTCTAAGTTTATCACGCAGAGAAACCCCAAGCATAGCGAGCGCAACAGCGAGCTATGGAGAGCCATAGCACGCTGAGCGACCTAGAGCTTCCTCATACGGCCAGCAGTGAAGGACCACGTCTCAGATCCGTAAGTCATCACTGGCAACACGCACTGATTGTACAATTTCGTTTTAAGGTTTTGAGGTATGTCTGACGAGAGGATGTGTCATAGTTTCCCGAACGCTGCCCAGCCGAGTTGAATCCGTCGATTGACCTCTCGGTCGAAGTTGGACTTACCTAGTCGGACTATTTGTCCCAGGTAAACATTCTCGTCAACAAATTCGAGCTTAGTGCTCCCAACAACTACCGGCATAGGTGTGACATGGACATTAAATATGATCTTTGTTTTGTCCATGTTCATCCGAAGACCTATTTGTTGGGAGACCCTATTGAGGTCATTGAGCATGGTGCTTAGGTCCTCCAGCGATTCTGCTATATATATGCCGACTATATAGTCGGCAAATCGAAGGTGAGTGATGTACTCGCCATTGATGTTAATACCGTATCCTTTCCAGTCCAGAAGCTTGAAAACGTCTTCCAATGCAGCAGTGAAGTTTCGGGGATATGACGTCACCCTGTCTTGCACCTCTCTGCAATTGGATAGGTTTCGTACTCTGGTTCTGTACTCGGATAGCCATCGTAGCTCTACTGTACAAACACTTCAGCACTTCGATATACCGACAGTCAACTTGGCATCGCTGAAAGGACTGCAGACACGGTTCTCATAGTCCACATACGCCAGACATAGTGGCAAATTGTACCCTTCGGACTTCTGTAAAATTTGCCGAAGGGTATGTATGTGGTCTATGGTGCTAAAGCCCTTTCGGAAACCGGCTTTTTCGGGAGGCTGGAAGTCGTCAAGTCTGCGCGCGAGACAATTCGTAATGACTCTCGAAAACAGCACGTAGACGCGGCTCAGAAGGGAAATCTGTCTGTAGTCTTCAAGAGAGCGTTGTCACCTTTCTTGAAGAACAAGACCACCGCACTTCTGCTCCACGCCTCCGGTGTAATGCCACCATGGAGGGCGAAATTAAAGAGCTTCTGAAGGACTTCAAGTCTTCCACCCGCTTTCAGAAGCTCCGCCGTAATTCCATCCTCGCCTGGGGCCTTGCCGTTTTTAAGGTGCTGGAGAGCCATTCTAATCTCGCTCAGACTGACGTCCGGGATATCTTCGGAATAGTGTCGGATAAGACTCGCTCTTGGATCGTTACTCACACTTGCGTCTGGCTCCAACAATGACGTGTAAAGCTGCCCATAGAACCTCTCAATCTCACTCAAAATCTCAGGTGCCCCGGAAACGATGCTGCCACACTCGGTCTTCAGCTTTGACAGTTGGCTTTTTCTGGCAGACAGATCTCTGGCAAAGACTTTGAAGCCTTGGTTCCGCTCGATCGCTTCTTCAATACAAGCTATCAATATAAATCCCGCCGCATGCATTTGGAGATCTGTCTGTTCAGTTGCCTGTATGCTATCAAATCTGTTGAAGAATCTAGCTTCATCTCCCGTCTAACAGCCATGAGATTGAAAGTGTGATCGGAGAGTTTTTGTGTTCTTCTGCGGCGAGTCTTGCAGAACTTAGCTCCGACCGCATGGACAGTTTCCACGAGCTTGTCATTCAAATCGTCCACTTCATTGCAGTCTTCTAGGCACTGAAAACGGTTTTGTAACTCGAGCTGAAAGGTTTCGGAACTTTGGAACAGAGCACGAGGGGGACGGAGCGTTGACTTCATTAGACGAGACCTCTCCAACTTAACGTTTAGGTTCAGTGTGCCTCTTACCATTCGGTGATCGCTACCAGTTTTCACCCTCGCGATCACGGAGACATCACTGAACAGTTGTCGTCTGGTCGTCATAATGAAGTCAATCTCATTTTTTGTGGAACCGTCGGGGTTCGACCAGATCCACTTCCTGTGGGGCCGCTTCTGGAAGAAAGAGTTCATCATAAAGAGTCCCTCTTTCTCCATGAAGTCGGCCAGCTGCTGGCCCCTTGGGTTTCGTTGCCCTATCCCAAATTTCCCTACTTTCAGCTTACCGTTCTCTCTTGTGCCTAGTTTTGCATTGAAGTCTCCCATTAACACCGTATATTGGGTTTTGGCGGAATGCATGACTCTAGAGATATCCTCATACATTTTCTTCACCTCCTCATCGGGGTGTACCGTGGTTGGTGCGTAAACCTGTATGACCTTCAGCGAATACCGTTTTGTGATTCTGAGTATAAGGTACGCAACCCTCGTCGACACACTCTCAATCTTTACAACGTTGTTAACGAGAGACTTGTGGACGATAAATCCGACACCTCCTTGGGACAGATGGTCGCCCTCCCGGTGATAGAGCAAGTTGCCGGATTCGAGGATTACCGTGTCCTCCCCCTCTTTTCGGACTTCGGATAATCCTATAATATGCCAGCGTAACTTGTCTATCTCTTCTTCCAGCTCCACAATCTTCTCGTCAGTCCTCAGGGTGCGTGCGTTATATGTTGCCAGGTCGTCTTAGGTGGCAACCGAACCTCCACCGGAGATTCTTAGCACCCTCTGCCCCGCCGTTACCATGGTCGCCACCGTAGCCAGGAATAGCGGGGCCGCCGGGGACTGGGGGCCGTTTCTTTGTTACTGTCACTGTGACTGTGTACTTCATAGGGGGGTATTTGCCATAGTTGCCACGGTTGGCGAGCGGGTTGGCATCCCCACCTTTTTTATTGTAAGTTTCTTGTTATCAGGAAGATGCTGCTGCCCATCTCCTGCCTGTTTCCCTTTGTCGCCTTTAACGACACCCACGGGAAGATATGGGGTAGTGGATATTATTAACCGCCACTACATCTTGATATAACGTTGTCGAAATTCATTAATATATATTATTATATACAATATGTTCATTAAGTATAGCTTTATAACAAAATTTCTGTGAATTCGTGTTTTTCGTTATAATAATATTTTGTTTTAATTTAAAGCATGTTAGAACAGGGTTAATGATCGGTGAGACTTGTTATGTTTCTATGACGATAGTGGCTTTGATTATTAAATGATCGCCATGAGTGAGTCCCCGTGGGAACTAGTGAAAAAGTACCCTTTTATTACTAGACTACAATCGTCTGACGATGACCTGATATAGCACACGGGATATAATATGTTGGCTGTGTTAGTCTTTCATAAATATTTTTTATTTATAAAGGTGATATACGAGCATACAGTCCACCTGATGGTAAGTGGATGCTGTGGCCCATAAAAATCTACATTTATCCTCAATTAAGAATCAGATGTGTTGCCACCCTTGAGGATTATGATGGAATGCCTCGTTTCCAGTAAAAAGGGTTTCCGGTTCTCTACACTCACCATACGAAACACAGCAGCATTGAGTTGATATTTTACGCTGGTATTCTGTGAGAGCGTGGTCCTTCCCGGGTCGAGCCGACCCATTCGTGCTACAATCATAATATAACTGCAGCATGGCTGTACCACATACGAGAACATAAAATACACACGTAGTTACACAGAGAAAATAGTCCACATAATTGAAAATAGCTGCTGCGTTCAATTATTAATGACGTGCAACCGTGCTGTCGAGGCCACAGATGTGTTTTAACCCGTAGCCACCTGGTACTAAGACGAAATGCCTCACAACTTGAAATCATAACGTAACATCTGGATCAGGTGATCCAGACTGAATAGTCTGAAAAGGAGCCCTATCGATTCGAGTGAAGAAGAAATAATTTTCCAACAGATTTTAGATTCAATACGTTTTCTAATTTACAGGATACAATCATACAATGCGATGGAAAGTCTGTACCTCTGACAATCTCGCATTGTTGATACTCAACCAGCAGTTTTCATTTCATATGCATGAAAATGGCGCGGAATACATTGTAAACAGGGTACGATATGGAGTTGCGGCACCGAATGGTGAAGCTCGATATAAAGATCGTTCCTGTAGATTTTATGGATGGGGTAGCAGAAGAAATGTTAGTATGCGTAACACAATCCATTAAAGAGATGTATTTTCGATATTCTATTTTCGCAAGATATTTTATAATATCATAAATATTACTAGTCCTACGTGGTAGAGCCACGCTACAGTTGCAGCATGGCTGCAGCACGAATAGATAGTCTCTTTCGTGAAAAGTCCACAAAAGTCTTATGGCCTCCCAACAAATGCCGGTATAACCATTAACCATATGAAATGTTATAATAAACAGGCCTGGAGCCTATGATAGAGTGCAGTGTCCTGCTTTTTTCTTTTCTTTATTAGTAGATATTAGAAATTTACATTAATAAGATGAGATATAAGTTTTTTTTTATAAAATAAGGGTGACAAATAAGCACACAGTCCACCTGTCCACATCAGTTCACATATTTATACCCGGTTAAGTTTTAAAATGTAGATGCGTTGTCTATATATATATACCTCAGCCAGCATCGGAATCATCGATTCCACTGCTTCGTGGAATCGTTTACCACTGGCAATTTTAGGGACTGTCAAGAAACAAACTCACTCCTTTTAAAAAGACAAACAACAAACCTACAATTACCCTGGTGTTACAGTTGTTCATGGGCGGTCAATACTTACCATGGTTGAGCCGTCCTTGCTGAAACTGCAATATAGCTGCAGCGTGTCTCTATCACATGAAAAGTGTAGTAGATACATAGACCCATAGACGCACGAATCCTCGTTTAAAATCAAAAATGTAGATGCGTTGTTACTCCTAAGGACTAAAATGGAATGCCTCGTTGTCAGTAAAAAGGGTTTCCGATTCTCGCCACTGACCGTACAAAATAAAGCTACATTCAGCTGCTATTTTATATATTCTGCGAGAGCGTTGTCTTTTATCGATGAAATGGATCCATTTGTAATGATGTAGCATTCCTCTACCACGTAAAACGTACCACCTGTTACAGGCTGATAAAAATATACTTAGCTTGTATTATTGCAATCGTATCGTACCGCATCGTTACCGAATACCTATTATACTCGTATTACACGCTTTGTTTTTAAGAAAAACGTTTCGTAACTTAGTGAACATAAGAACAAAAAAATGTTTCAGGGGTTTTTAATTCCATTATTGATTAATCTATATCGTCTGGACGTTACCGTTTTACCCTCCGAGAATTGCCATCAAATGTGGAACTATAAAAACAAATATCTTTGTATTCGTCAGCCAGCTTGTAAGGTATTCCTTTGGAAATTTTTTCTTACTTTTGTAAACATTAAATTCATTTATATATACGTACATGTAATTAATTTTGAAAATATCAAATATTTACGATAGAATTATGTTTGACAGTCTGAGAAGCATGGAGCATTGTGTCCGGTAAGTACAATTTGCTAATTTATTGAACGACTCAGCTTCGTTTAACGTGATCGTAAAACCACATAGCACGTTGTCATCAAAGTCAATGTCAATAGATTATTATATGTTATACAATGTCTAACCACATAATCAAAAATGGAATTCTTTAAAGTGTAAATGTACCATGTTATTGCGAAGTTAGTGGCGATATTTTTTACAGTTGCTATACACTGACAAAATCCATGTTTTAACGTATTTTTTTTGATCATCATAGAGCATGCTTGAGTCTTCTATAGTTTCCCTACGAGGTAAACTACGAGGGAGTACTATGTTCAGCAGTGGGCTTTTGAAAGGCTGTTATCAATGAATAAATTATGAAATACAAATTTACGTATTCTAAGGGAGTTAGTGGGAGGGGGGGGGGGGAGGGCAAAATCCCGCTCAGTACTGGCACTGCTCGGGGCAAATAGAGCAACATAACTACAGCATGCCACGGTAGCTGTGAATTTCTACAACATCAGGGGACTCCGTTCAAACTTTAAAGCCGTCCACTACCATCTGGATACAGCGAAGCCGGCCGTGCTTTTTCTCACCGAGACGCAGGTGTCCTTTCCGGTTGATAATTTGCATTTTTCTTACCCGGGCTACAAATTGGAACACTACTTTGTGCCTGGGGCTGGAGTTTGCGTATGCGTCAGAAGGAAATATGTTCTCGATGCCTTGACTGCTTTTAAGGCACCATCCTGTCCATCATAGGACGCCAAAGACAAAAAAAAACTTTCGCCTCTATGGGTGCTTTTAGAGGTCCTAGAGTCGTACACTGGTTACAGATTCCTTGCTAGAACAGATCCCGTCTGCAGAGATTGCAAACCATTAATGGTTCGGTTCACGTTTAACCGATCATGCGGGGATATCTGGTTATGACTTTGCCAATTGGCATATGGTCTGAATCAACTGGAGGATCATGCACCTTCCCATTTAAACCTTGATCCCTGGAACTATCACCCGAACGGATATCAGGTCTCCGTCGATGCCCTTCTTGGCTCTTCGAGCAAATGTCAGATCCGGAGTAGGGTGCCACGGTGTTCCCATCACGGTTGCGTTGTGCGGGCTGTCGCCGTGTATAGCACTATAGTTCGGGACAGGATGCGGTATTTTTTTGCATCCTACTCTCTCCGGATGATAGTAACGTTGTTGCTGAATCTGTCGCTGGTGTGGTGTGTCGCAACTTCGGGGAATGGAACTTTTTGTTCCATATTCGGATGCCCATTGGAGACAGAACCCACCCACGGTTTGGTGGCTCCCGCAAACATTTTCATCCCGGGATGCAATCACCAGCGCTCTTAAAAAGTAGTATAATTCCATCTCCAGGTCGTTCAAAATAGTCATTGCCAAGGCAAAGTCAGAGCAAATCGGTGAAATTGGCGAGAAACTAGTTCATTTTCCTTCGGGAACCCGTGCATTTTGGTCTCTCACCAAGGCTGTCCAAGGCAATATCTGTAAGCTATCTCTTCCATCACTGCACAGTAGGGGCGATTCACTGGCTCATGCAGCAAAGTAGAAAGTCGATCTGTTGGGCTTGACTTGATTTTCGATGACGGGGGTTCGCAAAACAACCGCGGTGTGGGTGCTTTTTGCTTGATGTGCTGTTTACACAGTGCTCAGTGAGCAAATCACTCCTCTTCCTGGACTTCAACAAGTCGTGTGAACCTGATGGAGTCCCTCCTATTATGCTGAAGATGTGTAGGTACTGCGGAGTTGACACCGGTTATAATGCGTCTTTCTTGGTACTCCCTATTTCCTAGGTATAGTCTCGAGCTCATTAAAACTCATTCTCGAGAGTAAAACAGCTTAAATACACCCGATCCCTCAAAAAAGGCGACCGCTCAGACCCATCCAATTATAGGGCCATTGCCATCAGCTCCTTGTTCTCTAAAATAATGGATTTCATTAAAAACTGCTAGCTTATGAGGTACCTTGAGGACCATGAGCTGATTAGTGACCGCTAATACGGTTTAAGTTAGGGTCGATCAGCTGGTGAGCTTCTGGTTTGCCTGACTCGTAGATGAGCGGAGGCAGTATAGTCCAAGGGAGAGGCTTCAACCGTTAATGTGGACATCGTATCTTTGGAATTTCCATTTTTCAATTCCCAGATTTTTCAATTGATACAAATATCAATTGCAAAATCTGGGAAAAAGCCTGTTGTCAGTATGCTCCCACATGTCATATCATGTATTTTTATAGAAGAATTCTAATCTTTTTCGGTCATAATATTGATTTGTTGCACTACCGTTATAGTCTGAGAGCTGGCGACGAATTTCGGAAAGGTCCTTTTGGCAAGTTGCATAAGACTTTTCTGCCGACTCCCAAAAAGGAGACGGTACTCAATTCAACGCGTATATTTTTTTCTTTTTTTTATGTGTGTTACCTCATAACTTTTTACTGGGTGAACCGATTTGGATGATTCTTTTTTTATATGAAAGCTGATACTTCTCGTGTGGTCCCATATGAATTTGATCAAGGTCAGACTAATAGTTTTTGAGTTATTTGAGTTATTCTTAATAACTTATATTGAAGTCGGCTGTACAAAATTTTTAATATTAAATTTTTTGTCGTATTCATTTGTAAACTTTATTCATGACTGGGAATTTTTTAAAACCGCTAAATCGTCTGGCGATTTGCAGGTATTATTAAAAGTTACTCAATAAATACGTGATTAAAATTCGAGATTGCCAAAAGTATATTTTTTGAGAATTTAAAAAAATATATTTTTGGAGATGTCTGGTAATACATTATAACTGACAAAAACGTCTGGGTTTATTTTTTTGGATTATATAAAAACTAAATTAAAAGATAAAAAAGAAATCAAGTTGCGAAAAAACTTTTTTGGAATTTTTTTTGCAAATGTTATATGCTGCGCAGTAACGAAATAATCTCAAACGCTCTGCCAGACTCGCGGGACTGGATTTGCCAATTGACGAAATTATATTTTTTCACAATTTCAACTTGGAATTCGTCGCGAGCTTTCAGACTATTAGTATAAGTTTAGCCGCCCAGCCCAACTAAAACTATTACAAACTTAGGAGTATTTTTTTAAAAATAGAAATTAAAAAGTTGTGCACCTTTCTAAAATCATTTAAATGTTTGCAGGACGACCTGGGATCTGTAGTCGTGTGCTCCGGTTATGTTCTCGGTATGATGACATCTCGTCTAATCGACCGTCCTTGTGGAGTGGGATTCACAGATTTATCAAAATACAACAAATTTCTTACATGTGGTGTTGACGACTCGCGTGATCTTGTTGATCATGATGTGTATATGGAGTTTGATACTGCTAGACCTTTGATGTCGCTTCAAACTGTCAGCAATGGGAAATCAACTAAAACAAAAACGACTACCCCTAAAAAGATTTAAACAACCTCGAAGCCACATAAATATTTCTAGAAATAAATATTTAAGCCGCAATATTATCAATTTAGTCTTATAACAGCGGGTCCGCATTTGATCATCTTATAGTTTATTGAACAGGCGTATCGTATCGATTACTTGTATCTTAGGTATGGACGCTCATTTCGACCATATTGTGTATCACTAGTCGTATCGTGTCAAAACGGCGTTCACAGTCAAGTAACAATATTCTATGGAAGGCTGAACCTGCGCCTTGTAAAGTTGCAAGCGGTGTGCCGGCAAGAAATACTGACCCGTTCTGCTAAGCACGCCAAGCTTTTTTATGAAAATTTTGCGTTTTCTTCCAAGTAATTGCAGAACTGTACGTCATACGACATGTCGACGCCGAGGATTCCGATACTAGCTGAGGCAACAAGGGGAGTGCCCTTAAACTAAGGAGATATGACAAAAGGGTTCTTTTACCATATGTGTACGCAAACCATATGTCCCCTGTAGATCCCCTGGGACGATCGAGGAAAACTGACTAGAGATAATATGATGTGTCGTACTCGTATCGGGTATTGAATCGTCATAAAATATCAAAACACGTCCATACTAGCGATTATTATCAGTCTGCGCCACGCGTCGGAGATACCCCAAGATGAACAAATGTGGATTGGACCTAAAACTGACAATAAATGGCAAGGTCAGAGAAACGACATAAATAATGTAAAACATTAATGGATGTTTTTATTAATAATCAAAATTTAAGCCACTGGCAACTTTGCTATTTTTGGAAGGACTTAACAAGTTTAGAGCCCATTTCCCAACAAAAAATGTACTGTCCGACTGTGCGTCAATGTTAAATGTGACATATTCTTCATAGATTTGGTATTTATTAGTGATTTAAACAAATACTAACATTAAATATACAAAATATACAAAAAAAGAAAATGGTAAAGTTAACCTCACTTTGTGGCAACTTTGCCATCGGGGTTTATAATGAAAATAATAGAATTTGACTTCAAGGTTGAAGATAAGTTTACCTCATAATATAATAACAGGCAGAGTTATGATTTACTCCTTTAATTGTGTTGTAAAGCAAAGTTTACTCTTATGGCAAAGTTGCCCGCCCATTTTTCATACAAACTTGAAAATATGTGTCAGGGTTGTTAAAAATCCTTGATTACGTACTCAACTAAATTTTTTTGTTTAAATCTTATCACAATCATTTCTTAAGCAAAAATCTAAAATATATTATACAAAAATACTCTCATCTAAAAATAAAAATGAAATTGGTGAATTAATCTTATAATTATCTTAAGTCAATTATAGTATAGATAAAAAAGCTTGTCACAATAATTTTTAACAAGTATTCGTTTTTTATTATTAGTGATCACAACCCGTAATAAAATAATGTCAGGTCATAATTATTGTTATCACTTTAAATATTGTTTTTTTCACAATAGCAAAACATTAATAATCATTGAAAATTACACTGTTTTTTGGGTGCAAATGAATATCAATACACTAAATTAATATTATGAAAAATACTGAGTAGAAATAATATTATTAATTCCTGACAATGCAGTAAATATAATATAGATTTCTCTTTTCTTTTTCAATCATTTGGTAAAATCGGTCTAATGGGCTGGGCTCTAATGGGCAACGGTGAAACATCGATGCAAACATACATACATAGAATGTCAAGTACAGAACACTTTGTTTAAATAGTCGTAATCGGTTAAAAATATAGGTTGAAAGTGACAACCCTTAGTTGTAGTAACCGTCACATCGCGGTATCACTAGTATGGTAACTTTGCGAAGTTAATTTTATAGATAAATGTTAAGACTAACATGTAAAAAACGATATATTATTACATTTGATAACCATTAATATTACGTTACTACAAGGTTATAAATGTCTACATTCAGTATTTCAAGCAAAATCAACAAAAGTTCTGGAGCACTGAACAAGAGGTTATTTCGCCGGCACAATTCCGCGTTAAAATAAAATGCCAAAATTAACTCTCATGTTGCCATATCGAAAGCAATGCTGTCAATTAGTTATTGTATTTTCATCCAAAAAATGGCATATCTCTCAGAAGAGAGCCTTTAACTAAGCCTCCGAGTCCTGCAAAAAGGCATTACGCTAACCCAGTTTCGACCGCATTAAACGCATCGGTACAAAGCTCTCTGTCAAACCATCTGACAGTAAAGCTTTTTGGTCTCTCGCCAAAGCGGTCGAGACAAACTTCTGTCGGTCTACACTGCTTCCGCTGGTAAAACCAGATGGCTTACAGGCGCATACTCCTAAGGAGAAAGCGGACTTATTTGCGTCTCTTTTTGCTCGCAATTCGTGTCTGGACAGAAGCAACAGCATACCATCTCAATTACCTCACTGCGGTACCTCTATGTCAGAGGTCCGTATCACCGACAAGGAGGTTTTTAAAACTTTGCGAAGTCTAGACGAGAACAAAGCTAGTGGACCTGATGGTATACCAGCTATGGGACCCCTTTGTTGTCGATATTCCACGCATTAGAACCAAAAGGTTTGCTTCGTCTCTTGTAATGCGTACAGCAAAGGAGTGGAATAATTTGCCAGCGTCTATCTTTCCGTCCGAATACAGTTTGGGCGTCTTCAAGGCAAGAGTGAATAGGCTTTTGTTACGCTAAGCCAGTGCGATTTGTCATCTAGGGCTGCATCAACACTTGCCACCAGGTGGGATTGTGATCAAGCACTGGCTTATAATAAGTTAAAAAGAATACGAGGAATCCCATCTTAGTCCTCAAGGGTGACGACGCATCTGAATTTTGATTCTTAATCGAGGATAGATGTAGATATCTATGGGATAACTATCGCTATTGACATAATATACTACTTCAATGCTCTTAAATTACTATATCCATAGGGGAGGCGCTATATAATATAAGCTTAGCTCCCGTCGAATGCGCTCCAATCAGGTCTTAACCTAATAATGTCCCACATACCGAATCACAGTCACAGCAGCAAGCTTCAACCCTGACTACCCATCTGCTCAGGATAGGATTATAGTGCACGAGTGTGTGCGTAAGTAGGTACAGGTGAACTACGACACGACCGGAGAGGCATCAGCCGCAGGACCAAACTTTACGTGCTTGCTGAGGCAGGAAGGTGAAACACCGCCAACTTCCTGACTTCTGGCTACTTCTGAGAATTTCATGACAAAATAAACCCGATAAATATATCTTCCCCCCACTTCTCCGTTTTGCCCCGTGGGTGTCACAAGCCAGGAGATTGGCAGCAGCGCCTTCCTAATAACAACTAGAAAATAAAACTGTGTTTCCCAACCCGCCTGCCCAGCGTGACAACTATAGCAAATATCCCACTTATATGCGGTTTAAGAGGCAATTTTTGGGTAAGCCTATGTTCCGCAGTGGACTATGTGTAACGAAACAATCAATGAACAAATTTTTTTTTTTTTTTTTTTTATAGGATAAGGGTGACAAACGAGCACACAGTCCACCTGATGGTAAGTGGTTGCTGTGGCCCATAGACATCTACATCTATCCTCTATTACAAATCAAAATGTAGATGCGTTGTCACCTGTGAGGACTAAGATGGAATGCCTCATTTCCAGTAAAAAGGGCCTCCGGCCACCTGCACTCACCAAGCGAAACGCAGAGGTAAGCCTCTACTTCACGCTGGTTTTCTGTGAGGTCGTGGTACCACCCCGGTTCGAGCCGGCCCATCCGTGCGACAGCAAAAGCTGCCGCGTGGCTCTACCACTGTTAAATAAATTAAAAAAAAAAACAATGAACAAATCAATTACAAAAAAAAGATTTATTTATGATGATGTGATGTGTCTTACCTTGTTTGAAGAGCACCTGCCGCCCTCCCACCACCACTACACTAGGGAAGACACACCACTGACGATAATACGACACGAGCTTCGCGTCTACACGAGGCATCCTCGCGTGTAGTAGACTCTGCGGTGGCTGACCGCTAAGAACTTAGCAAATGGTAGGATATTGTCAAAATAAAACTTTAATATAATGGATTTCCGCAAAGTAACGGATTCTATTAATTACAATGTATGGAATTTGATAACAGATGTTAAAATTGAAAACAGCGTCTAAGGGAATTCTTTAATTAGAAACATTCATAAACCATAGTCTAAACCCGAGACTATCAATAAATCATGTTTTGTAGTAAGACGGGCATAGGTTTAACTTTGAAACTAGTGACGCTGGGCTAAGACGAAATCGTTAACGCGTTCACCTCGCCCGCGCATAAACAAATATTACGAGTATTTATTACTTATGAGAAATAAGCAAACAAAATCATAGTAATCGGGTTTCTATTAAATGCAAAAATATGATAAAATTAAAAGTTTGTGACGGTTCTTGATTAAAGTATAAGTATAATAAAAACTTAATTTATATCGTGTTGATTTTCTTTATTATAAACAAATACAACTTTATTTAATAACAAATATAATTGAGTTTAGGTGAGGAATATATTATACATTTACAAAATTTATATATTTATAAATATTTTTAAACTCTAAATCCTTCATAAATCATCAAGTCACCGTTTAACCATAATAAATATTATGTATATCATTTTATAAGTTGGTGTTTCGTATAAGTTGTAAGTTAATACGAGTACATGCTTAATATTACTGATGTATAACATTTTATATCAGAACTTAAATTGGTATAATTAAACTAAATAAAAAAATAATAATACTTATAAATTAAATATAAAAAATGTCTATCTCCTTGTCAGACGAATTTGATGTCCATTGATGGGGAATAAGAGTATCTCCATCTTTAATGGACCAATGCCCGTAGCGTCTATTTTGTATGACCGGATTACATTTGAAATAATAGTTTTTGCTATAATCATGCCAAAGTTACGCCCTGTAAAAGAAGGATCAAAGTAATAAAAAATTCCGACGAATACATACTAACATTAGATACCAATTATTGTGTAAATATAATCTTACCAATACAATTTCTGAGCCCATAACTGAAAGGCAAATAAGCAGCGGGATGCCGTTCGTTAGACCTTTCAGGTAGGAATCTGTCTGGGTCGAATTCCTCTGCACTTGGACCCCACTCAGCTTTTGAACGATGAATACCAAACACGCCAATGACCGCACTTGTTCCAGCCGGCAACTGAACTCCACAATGAGCTGCAATAATAACACATCAAATATTTCCCATATTTGTATAAAATTAAAAATAATTAATATTGCCGGGTAATCCTGAATATCAATCTCAATAGAATAAAATACGCTTTGTTTAAATACAGCATAGTAGAGCTGCCACCGATGGAATAAAAGCTTTTCTTACTCTTTTTAACTCATGTGAAGATGGATTTGAGAAGCTCTTATTGAATAGTTACATAGAGTGGGTTCAAGACAGCACGTAGTGGTTTACCAGAGTTATGGTTACTACGAGTCCAAAACGGCGGCCAAAAAGGACCAGGCATCAGATATTTTATTTTTCCGTGGTAGAGCCATGCTGCAGCTATATCAGTAGTATAATTGAAGCACGAATGGGTCGGCTCGACCAGGGAAGGACCACGCTTTCACAGAATACCAGCGTAAAATAGCAACTTAACGCTGCTGTGTTTCGTATAGTAAGTGTAGAGAACCGGAGACCCTTTTTTACTGGAAACGAGGCATTCCACCTTAGTCCTAACGGGTGACAACACATCTGCATTTTGATTTGTAATCGAGAATAGACGTAGATTTCTATGGGCCGCAGCAACCACTTACCATCAGGTGGACTGTGTGCTCGTTTGTCACCCTTATCCTAAAAAAAAAGATACTTATTCGCCTGCTAACCAATTGTGTTTCAATTGGTTAGCATATGTATATTTTCACTAGATGCACTAGTATCTAACTATAGTCTGTGTATATTTGAAAAAAAAAACGATAATAAGTAATACATTAGGTAAAATACATTTTCGACTTACGTAAATATAACTCTCTGTCGATTTTCCGAGCTATGATGGGGACTACAGAATATAAACGCATACTTTCTTTTATAACTCTCTCTAAATAATTCATGTTGTTAATATCGTCTTTATTCACTTTTCGCTTAGACATGCCGAAAATTGCTTCTTGTCTGTAAAAAAAGTATGCCCACATATAGCACGAATGGATCGGTTTCACCGGGGCATTACCACGCTCTCACAGTACACCAGCCTAATGCTGCCGTGTTTTGAATGGTGAGTCTAGAGAACCGGAGACCATTTTTACTGGAAACGAGACATTCCATCCAGGAGTGATAACGCATCTGCATTTTGATTCTTAATCGAGGTTAAATGTAGGTGTCTATGGGCCACAACATCCACTTACCATCAGGTGGATTGTGTGCTCGTTTGTCACCCTTATTCTATATTGAAAAAAACATTAAATATAAAAATAAAAAAAAGAAAGAGAAAGAGAATACATGATTCCATTTCATCCCGTGTATATCGTAAGAGGCCACAGGGAAATCATAGAAAATTTTTACAGTTCCTGTACGGCGCAAATTATACAGAGGCGGCATAAGGCGAAGACACGGCACAAGCGTGGCGAAGGTGTGGAACGGACAAGGCACGGACGCGATTTAATTATACAGAACTGGCGAAGATATGCCCAGGTGCCTCATTATACAGGCCGACTTTGTTACGATAGTATGTCTTGCTCTTCAAACGACGAAGATGTGCTTGCTTTACTGCGTGTCCCTTGCGCGCCATTCCGGCCACGACTGGTAGTGGCGTGCCGCGGACAGCGAAGCGGCATGCCTATGCCACGCTGCTTGAGTATAATTCAACACACGTCGCTTTCATACATTTTATATGAAAACGTTTTGAAACGGCATCATGCCTGTGCCATGCCTTCGCCTTATGCCACTTCTATGTAATTTGCGCCTAAGATGACAGAATACAGCAGCAAGCAACAGCATCAAAGGTACAAGACGTAAGGCACTGTGATCGTTAATTCGTCTGCCAAGTTGACGATTTAGGCAAATTCTTCCTCCCACACGAGAAGACTACGTCCAGCGGTAAACTATTATGTTCCGATAAAGAAGAAGGCAAACATAAGTGATTGTCATCAGCATGCAGCAGTCCAGGCTTATATGCATTGTCATCTCGGCTACGAGCATTCAATTGTTTCTTGCTGCTTTACAAAAATTGTTGCTTTATCAAGCCTAACGTTTTTAACTCCAAACTAAGTCAATTCTATGACCCAAAAAATTGCAAAACCTCCCATAGACGACTAAAATCCGCGGCTGAGCCTCTCCTGTTGTGTGTATAGAATTTGGTACTATCGACACGCTTAGCAGGCCGTTTGGAGGTCACAGTACCAGATGTCTCGTACTTTTGATGCAAATTTTATACAAATGCCATATACAAAATGTTATACCGATCCCATTCCAGCATCACTGATTTATAATAACATTAATATAGAAAGGGAAAGATAAATCATTAAAATAAATTCATTATCCAATGACTTTATTCGAATTTTAATTTCTGCAGTAAATCTATTACTTCAAATTGAAATCAAACTTACTCTTGAATTACTTTATCCTGCACGTTCTGATGCATACCAAGCAGGACTAAAGTATAAGCAATGACGAGCGCCGTGGTGTCGTTTCCAGCAATGGTTATAGAATCAATGTGCTCCCGAAGTTGATCGTCGGTGAACTTTATCTCGCGGTCGAATAACATATCCAGGACAGCGCGAAGTTTGCCGTCTGAAGTCGTAAAATAAAAATATACTTGTAATTTATTATATATTTTTTTAAGTCTGATGGCGAATTTTAGATATGATATCTAGAATTTGTCATCAGACTTGAATTTCTTGTGAGTGTTGCCCTCACCACGTTGTGTAAATACGGTTGTTGAGCGTGGATTCTACGCCGTAGAGCCTTGGGGGTGTATACTATGTGGATGTCAGATTGTCACTAGGACATAGAGAGTAATATTGTTCTGTGGCTAGTACTGACTGGCGTATACTGAAACACTAGGTAGGGTGGGTGTACCAGTCCCAAACCAGGTACCGGTGGTTGACCACTCATATGTTCAATTGAATAAATTAAGAAATGGCGGGCATCTTTTAAGAATTAAATAGTTTTGTTATGTAGCCTAGACTATAACCAATTTTCGGAACATCATTTTTTGCGATAGTAAACGAAAAATATCCATACCTAGCTCTTTTTCTCATACCTGTGTCTCGTTTACTGCCTTTCGGCTGCCACTACAGTTAGACGTGCACGTCGACATGGTAAGCTAAATATTTTAATATCACCTATTATTTCCTAATTGCTGTCATCAAGTTGTATTATTTAAAAAGTTTTGTATTTATTAAAGTGCTATGCGCTGTTATTTTTATTAAATAATGACATTATCAAGTATTTTAAAGGTGGTTAACTACTGGAACACACCTTGTACTGAGTTCCTATTGTTGACCAACTGGTTTGCAACTGGTTTCTTATGGTGCTTCTTTTTTTGTTTTTTTTTTTTCATAGCGATGCTTTGTTTGACTATTTAGAACTTAAAGCCAATTATTAAAATAGTTTTATGCGATGTGCCCCATTTGTTGACCACTGGTTTGCTATTGGTACACAGTAGTAAAAAAGTGTTCCTATGGATGACCACCACATTAAAGTTTTTACTTTTTTCGTTGTTTTAGATTGAAGATAAACCCAAAAAGACATTTTAAATATACGGAGATTTATTTGCTTAAGTATCTCGATGAAATTCATAAAGGCGCTAAAATAAGACGAATATGGCGAAAATATCATATCCCTCACCCGACTGTTATAAACAAACTGAAAATGAGACATTCTCAACGGAAAATGGGACCACCAAAGTTTGTATTATCTAGGTGGATTAACGCTAACGTTAAAAATGATTGTTTATTGGAAACAGTTAGCCAAATAATAAGAGAGCACATCTTTAACTGATTTTGGACCTGGACTATCAATCCAACAACCAGAAGAAAAGGAAGTTACCCAACACCCACAGGATTTTTTTGTAGGATAAGGGTGACAAACGAGCACAGAGTCCAACTGATGGTATGTGGTTGCTGTGGCCCATAGACATCTACATCTATCCTCGATTACGAATCAAAATGCAGATGCGTTGTCAACCGTGAGGACTAAAGTGGAATGTCTCGTTTCCAGTAAAAAGGGTATCCGGTTCTCTACACTCACCTGACGAAACAGAAGCGTTATGCTGATATTTTACGCTGGTATTCTGTGAGAGCATGGTCCTGCCTCGGTCCAACTGACCCATTCGTGCTACAACTATACTAATAATACAGCCGTAACATGGCTCCACGTAAAAAATCTTGAAGCGACACCACCAAAAGCCAAAGGTAGCCAAGCACCTAAACAACTATTTCCCTGGGAAAATCAAAAACATTGATGGATGTAACGCTGAAGTCAGTACTATAATGTTATCATCTGCGACCATTTTCAAATGGCTTGAAAAAGAAGATTATATTGTATGACCGTGACAGCATCATTGGAGTTATAAAAGCATCTGTTTCTATAAATACCAGAGGTTTCTACAAGGTTGAAGACATGGCCAAATTTTTGCAATGAATCCTACTAATATTATAAATGTGAAAGTTTGTGAGGATGTATGGATGTTTGTTACACTTTCACGCAAAAACTACTGAATGGATTTTATTGAAACATTACAATAATATATCTCATACATTAGAATAACACATAAGCTATAATTCATAAAAATATTGTGTAAATTGACCATAATATAACAATAAATGTGTAAGTCTGAAGAAAATCTGTCGTCTGCGAGCTATTTTGGGATAAACACGCATCACGCAAAAACCTGTGAATCAATTTGGATGGGCCTTTCACTGGCAGATAGCTGATGTTATAAGGAGTAACTTAGGCTACTTTTATTTTAGGGTTCCGCGCAAAAAATTGCACGCGGGCGAAATCGCGGGGAACAGCTAGTATAAGATAAAGCTTTCGAGTTCTTTTAGTAATTTTACGGTTTCTAGATAAGATTTTGTCAAAATCGCCTACCTCAATATGATGAGACTGATTTATTTAATTCGTCTGTGATAGGTGATACTGATAATTTATGTGCAAAGCTATTTTTCTATTGTAGTTTGCTAATAAGCGTTGTTACCGTTAATGTTCTAATTTTCATGTTTGTCTTCTAATTAGTTACCTTCGACTGTACCATTAAAATTGGTTGTAAGTCTAGATAAACTTTCAGTCATCATATTATGAAAGTCAATTTTTGTAACAAAATAGTGTTTTATTTTCAATTAGCTACCGTTTTTTGATAAGTTTTTCAGTGGTCAACTATTGGCGCAAAAGTGGTCATTTATTGGAGCGCACTGGTCAAACTTAGGCACATTCCCGTTTTCCGTATAATTAATGAAATCTATAAAAAACTTAAATATTTGGAATCAAATAATTTATCTATATTGCAACATTAGTGATCAATAAACAACTAAATAATACCAGTTCAGAGCATTTCGACGTGAAAACGTGTCCTTAACTGGTTTGGGACTGGTACACCCACCCTATATGTGGTGTGTGGATTAAATATAGTTTTTAATTGATTTTATCTCTCAAATATTCTATCATATTTTTAAGTTCTTTACTAACCAAATATAATTTATGTATAAATCATTTTAAATTTATTTTTAAGTAGTAATTGTTATAAAATACTTTGTTTAGCTACCTTGCTTAGTTAATATAGGTGTAAGAATTTAATATTATTTTATGAAATAGTACGTTAATTAAAAATAGTATATTAGACCTAATTTGCACATACTCCATTTCGAAATAAGACAAAGAGAAGAATACGTTTTACGCTATAAAATAATACAATTTTGTCGATGAAAATTTTGAGGTCAGTGTCCGTTTATCACAGGCGGTCGCATTTAGCAATGCATATGAATATGTAACGCTCAACGCGATCGCCTGCGGGGGCGATGTTTAGAATTCTGTCCGGAAGGGCCATGTAATATTTAATCTAATTGTGTAATGTTTAAAACGTTTACATTTTAAAACGATTACATCATTAAAATAAGAGAAGGAAATCAGGTCGCATTCGAATTTCAAAAATTGAGAATAAGTGTACTTATGCCATCACTGTTCACTTATGGCATTATAATATATAACATCTAAGAAGTTGAATACACAAATTCGTGATCAACTCTATTTCTCTCTTTCTCTCTTTTTACAGTTTTATCCCATTTCTTGCTTAGGTTGGCTATTCTAATCTTTAGTCTGCAGATTGATCTCTTCTGTGGCATCATTGAATCTGTATAAAACTTTTCCAAGTCTTTCTTTACGACGAAAATGACATGGTACAATGTAATGGTAATGGTAATGGTGACAAGTAGGTATATATTATTGCTATGTGAATATTGGTGTGTGGGTTAAGTTAAGCGTTAAGGTGTTAAGTATTTACAATATAAAACATTAACAGTCTTTTGTTACATTCATGTGAAACTGATTATTGTACCAATAAAATAAAAAATAAATATGTTTATATATAAGTGATTTCTCGGAAACGTATCTAACATTTTGAATCTAGATAATGTTTTACTTTCCAATTCCAAGTTTATCTAGATAGGTGTCATCTCTATGAAAACTACATCTTTTATAAAACAATAGCTGGCCAGGCAGACGTTGTTCTGCCCTTTCCGACGACCCTTTGTCCTTCAAAAAAAATCTTTAAATTAGCAATAAAAGTTTGAGTCACTTATCGGGATAAAACTATCCTATCTCTCAAGTTGTAGCAAACGATATATATTTACAAAATTTCATCAAAATCGGTTGAGTGGTTTCGGAGTTTATCGCGGATAAGCAATGCGACACGTAATTTTAAGATGTAAAGATTATCAAGCATCTTAAATAAGCAAGAAATATTGATAGCCCCGAATATTAATAGTTTGTAATTACGTATTGTGCAATGGATTCAATACTATTGAAATAGATTTAATTATTGTCAGTATCTAATAATATATATATATATATATATATATATATATATATATATATATATATATATATATATATATAATAGAATTTATTCTATATAAAATAATAATAGAAGCGTTAATTAACAGTGTAATGGCAGTGTAAGAATATCCACACATATCGTCCCATGGTTACCGTAAGAGGCAACAGAGGAAAACTAAAAGAGGAAATGGGCACCACAATACATACCTATATTAAACGACGCTCTTTCTCTACGATAAATTAAGATGAAACGAGGTCGGTCTAGTTATGTTTCTTCCTTCTATAGAACAAAACATTATTCTACGTATTATGGCTCAAAATGAAATTATTTAGATTTTAATCCAATGGACTGATTTTGTAGGTAGAATAGGTAAGAATATTCACTACTCAATATCATCCTGTTGAAACAGGAGATATCCTGAACAACTCAAAATATTAAAAAAATACGGTTGTCAACCCACCTACCAAACGTGGCATCTATGCCAAAATTTCCCCCATTAGGTAACCTATGGGGGAGACCATCACCAGCAGCCTTCTATAGATTGTAATGGATGTATGGATTGATGCCTTGTATTTGTAGTTAAAGGAAGGGCATAGAGTAAAGTTAATTTTATCATAACATCATTTGATAAATATTTTAGTTTGTTGCTATCCTAACATATGAAATTGGCGTTTTGTACGGGAGGAATATAAAATCATTTTTTTTTGTAAAGTTAATTAATCAAAGTATGCACCAT